TGAAGCATAATTCAGACCTGTTTTAATTAATGTTTCCAAAACAAATTTCACAAACTGTTCCCTACCTCTGTCGTTACACAGCAGTCTCTGGCACTGCAGCATGGATAGATCCATACCGAGCTGACTTCAGAGACCAGCTTGAACTCTAACAGTGAGTTAACAACCATTAGCTATATGTAATTCTTTCACTCCCTTGAAACCGGAGTCAAGTTTTCCTGACAGTTTATTCTGGGTTTGGCCAAGAATGGAGTTAATGTAGTTTACTGAATAAAGTAATTACCGCTATAATACCTCAGAAGTAATAGAAATAATTGAAGCATAGGCAAATGTTGCAGGGACATGACAAGACCAAGACCTATCCATGCACTAAACACTCTGCAGTCAGATCTACAGGGCTGGTTTTTAGTATGTGCTGAAGAGTCTTCTCCAACTTCTTCCCTGGCTCTCAGAAAGTATTTTTATTTTCCAGGATGCTCTCACAGCACCAGCACTTCCCTGGAATTGAGAGAATATTTATGTCAAAGGAAACCCAACCACTTCCATAGGAAGCCACACCTAAATCAATTGCTAGTGAACCATCACCAAAATTTGCCTGACAGTGAACGGGAGTTACTGTCACATTTGCTGAAATAATTTAGATGAGGCCTCATTTATTAAAATAGTAAATCTATACCACTATTAATCAAGCATGATACAAATTATTGATCTAATACTCAGTCCCTTAGTGGTACTCAGAGGCACTAATTAAAGGACCTTCATAACCTATCTGTTGTTTGTCTCTGTGTTGAACTATCAGAAAATGTAATCATGAGTAAAGATGATTAAACTCCAATTTACTCATTTAAATGGACCCTACATAATTGTTTATGAATAACCCAGCAAAACAAGGTCACCAACCCTGAATGTGGCTATTTAAATATTGAAACATTTTGAAGTACATTAATTAGGTTAGATGAGAACTTCTACCTTTGTCACCTACTTATTATCCAGCCCCAGCAATTAAATGCCTTGACTTCTCCTGACATTACACAGAATAGGACTTAAAGTAATACGAACAAGTGTGATATGGAACCAATTAGCTCACATATGTTGAAAGACTTCAAATGATACAATAAATGAAATCTTAATCTCTAAGGAAGGAAAATAACAATGAAGATCACTTCAACTCCATAGTATAGCTTTGTTATGCACGTAATTTGACCAGAAGTTTCAATAAAGCATTCCTCTACTTTAGTGGTAATAATTCTGGCTTTTATATGGACATGTATGAAATACAGGTTTAGTTACAAAGTAACTCTCAGTTTCCAGAAATAAGATCAGCTAATCATTAGGTGGGGTGGTGCTGCCTCAGGTAGTTGAATGGATAAAACGTTTTTGCCTTCATGTCAAGACTCCACATCCAGGAATTAACTTAAGGAACAGGGAGAAGGTTGGCTTTGTTTCCTCCCCTTTTTTTCTTTTTCTTTTTTTTTTTTTTAAGAAACGTAAAATAAGGGGTCCTGAAGATGTGGTTTTCCAGATCCAAAAGACTATACTTGATTAACTAAGACTTACTTTCTAAATTAATTTGTTTTTACAAGTTGGTGAGAAAGTGATATGGAGTCAGCATTAGCTTACATCAGTATTTTACTTCTGGAATCAACCTTGGAGTCAAATGCACCAGCTGTTAAAGATAAATTTGTGTCAAGGGGGATAATTTAGATTTATATATTGAAAAGTAGGTTGGCACTGCCTTTTCCCTTGCCCTCAGACTTTGGTCTTCTAGAGTCAGCAGAACTCACAGGTTGGAAAGAAGCAAGGCAAAAAGAATTGATTAACAGTAGGAAAACAATCATCATAACTCATCATATATCTATTCACACCAGGATCCTGGTTTTGGTCTGGTGCATGAAATTCTGATAGAAACATTTATGAAGGCCATCTACAACATGACATGAACTAAGTGACATGGAAACCACTTGGTTCACAGATAATTTTGAAGGTATATTTTTGTTGTTCATTTCTGACACAGCTCCCTATATTTGTCAAGTCTACAGTGGTAAGTTACACCTAAAGAGACTATAGCTCACTCTCCCTCTAATCTGTGCAAGGAAATTGACAGCATTCCAACACAGTCATCCATCCTTGCAGTGTAAGAACAATTATTTAACGCCATCGCTTCATGCTTTCTCATTCGGTGCTTCAAGAATGGAAACAACAATAACTATTTTAGGTGACAGTAAAATAGATATTCACAGTTACATCTGGTCAAACACTGATTAACATTAAATACAAACCAGACCTATTTCTTTCACATAATATTGGATTAAGTCAACCAGTTTAATGAGGGAAATATTTTATGAAGATTTAGAGCCCATCAAGGAAGAACCGGGAGTGACACAACACTCCTGACATTAAGTGAGTGATTTATCTTATCCTATGTGGTTAAGTATTTTTGAGAGGTCAGGTGCATGTTTCTCTCCATTAACTGTCAGTGCACTACAAGGTGAGAATGTCAGACTAACAGGTCTACCTTTTGGAATGTTTAAAGTAAAGTGGGAGGCATCCTACCTCACATACTCACTAACTGATTACTTCTACTAAGGAAGTTTAGTAGAAGTTTAGTATATGAGCAATTTTTTCATATTTCTTGAGATATAAATATTATTAAATTTTATTAAAAAGACCAGGAGTTGCTTCACAAAAAAAATCAATTAGCAGTAAAACTACATACAAATAATCATATTAGGACCTACCATATTAGTATAATGGAAAAATTGAGTTAAATCCTTTCGGTATTATTTGTATCAAGCTCAACAACACATTAGAGAGTACTGTAGAAGTTTCTAAGGAATACAGTCTTTTCAGAACAATAAAAAGAAGTTTATATTAGAAATTATTTTTTAAAAAATCAGTGTGAATTTAAGTAGTTATGTTTTAATTTTGGAAATATTCTATCACTGAAAATAATAGCTAGGGATTAAAGTATGTATTCCACAGTTCTCTCTCTCAAAATACGTATGTTTATAGTTGTAGACAAGAAGATAACACATCATTGCAACTAGGAACCAAAACTGAGGCCTGAATTACTGTTAAAAACAGCCAGTCTTCTCAGAAGTCAAGTCTGAACTACCAGTTACTACTTCTATGCCTGGTCAATAAGGTTACTCACCTTTTCTCATGTCACGGTCAAAGACAAGTGTATGCAATTAATTTCCCCATCATGTAATGTCATATGGGCAGGGAGAAATGCACATTGTGCAAAGCAGACAAACCTGAATCAGCACTGCATCTACAAGACAGGTAATATCCAAACCACGGTACTGTTCCAAAAGAAAGTGAGGCAACTTTCTGCACTGTTCCTTGCGGCCAATGAAAGGAAAGTTAAGGTGCTTTTAGGCTAACAGTGGCTTTCTAACCACTGACTTTTTGAGAACATTGAAAGAGTCTGTGTGATTCTGACAGCCCTCAGAGCTTGTTTTAGGATCACTGCTGTGTCACATTGGGGCACCAGACAGTGGAGGGGCAGCTGCACCACACTGCAGCACCACGGTGCAATTCCCTATTGCTTGTCCCAGTAAGAACTCTTCCACCTGCTTTCTTACTCCCAGAAGTTCAGATGCTTTGCCATCAAGGCCTACCCCCACCACACTGCTAACAGCCTCTGAATGCCTCCCTAGTCCTACTCATTATAAAAAAACAGAGCAAGGATTAGGCCTTCTCCTGGTCTGCCTTTGTCTGGGAGAAGGGAAATGAAACAAACAAACAAACAAACAAAAAACCACCAAGCTCTTCTTAAAAAGTTACTTTATCGTCAATTGTCCAATCAGACCAACTTCAGCATCACTATAACTGTTTTTTTTTTTTTTTTTTTTTTTAAATAGGAAAGAAGAAAGGGGAATAACATATAAAAAAATAAACAAAAAGTATACCCTAGATGGCAAGTTTAGTGGGTCCACGTATCTTATTGCTGCTCTAGAAGTACAGAGCATAAATTCTGTTTGCAAAAATACAGATCTTTCCTCCATCCAGCCTGGCTTGTAAGGCACATTATGCAAGGTAGCACTACTGACAGGGCTCTGGAAACAGGAATCTAGCTACATATCCCTGTTTCCTCATAAGTGATATCCATGTATGCACATGTGTATTTATGTAAATTTTGAGCTCCACTACTTTTTTCCATGGTGCATGATTACAAAAGCAGCAATAGTCTGCTGCAGCTCCTTGTTATAAAAGGAATTAAAATTGTAAATTATGCAATTAAAAAACATTACTGGTGCAATGTTCCCAGGTGCCTCAAGAATAAAAAAGTTCCGAATGTTCCACAACTTTCCTCTCATTTTACACTTTCACTACCAACGAATTAGATGTTCAGATTTCAAAATGGGACAATTTCATTGCCTCAGTTTGTAAAGAATGCACTAGCTAACCAGCACTCTGATCATAGCAAAATTCAAAAGGTTGTATAAATGCTGTATACATTCCAGAAATGCTCAATGAAACTGCTTTTCCATTCTGTGTGAAAAGCATCACACAGAAAAAAAGTCTGTTCTAGCAGATTAGAAGAAAAGAAAGATATTGGGCAAATGATATAACAGTGCAAGTCAGGGCAAAAAAAAATTACTGAAGCTTAAAGGTGCCTTCCACCACAAGGGTCAGTTATAAAAAAATAGGAGAGGCAGGGCAGTATGGAGAAACAGAAGGAAAAACCTTCATTCATTAGAGAAAGAGGAAGGAGATTATTTACCTTCAAAGTGTTAAATTGAACTTGCTGCAAAACTGATCCAATATCTTCAGACTCGGAAATACCCTACGGCAATTATTGATCAAGAGGAGTGAATGTGCCACAGACCAGGTTTATGTGCCAAAAAAAAAACGGGGGGGGGGGGAAGGAGGTACAAAAGAACTTTAGTGTGCTTAAGACATATTTAAGTTTGAAGCACACTCAACTGCTGAGTTAACGGTTGCATGAGTTATTGCAGCAATGAGTATGAGGATAGATGATCTTCAGGAAAACGTACCTGGCTAGATTGAATGCATCATCGATCAAGCCTGCTCGATTACTGACAGAGATAACCTGTGAGGGTCAAGCACAAAAATTGAACCATTTAGGGTGATGGAACAGTGAAGGTTCACCTATGAAAGCAGATTCTAGGGATGAGGAGCTTACCTCATGGTTCCTTGTTAGCTGGTTAATTAGCAGCCTCCAATTCCTAATATCATAATTAACTCTAAAGTAGCCAGTCTGGTTGATGTTCCCCAGCAACCAACTTGCCTCTTCAAAAGCAGGAATTCTGTGGTGTTCTAGAAACAAAGAACAAGAAGGGAAGGAGATTTGGTTTTAAATTTAAAAATTATAAAGCCATATCAGTTAAATTTTTTCTTTCTTTAAGTATACATGAAGGCAGTAAAATTAAGGGAAAGACTAACAAAAACATTGTGCTTGATTAATAATACCCTTCATTATCTGTTCTGATGTAGAGAGATGCCAGCTGACATTCCCATGGGGACCTTTTACCCACATAGAACTCCAAGGATGCTTTTTTTCCCCCTGGAAAATATTACTTACATGAGAAGTACACATCTTAAGTCTGGTACCCTGATTCTGGTGATGCTAAAATAGCTTTCTACAACTATAACTCAAATAATTCAATGGATGTGTTATAGAGAGAAGACTAAAACTGTGTTTAAAAAAACAAATTCCTAACTGTTTCTGCATGTATTTGATGAAGCTTTTACACCAGACTCTAAATTAAAGTATTTCCAGTTGTACAGCACCTAGCTACTAACTACTGAGAGGCTCCTCTTTAGAGCTAGAACTAGAACCTTATATCAACTAACCTGTTCTTCATATTTCTCCTCATTTTAATTAATCACTTTGGGGCAGAAAGTCGAAATTTATTACAGTATTTGTAGAGTCAAGCACTCCACAACTATTTGCAGGACTAGGGATTTCAACAACAAAAGCACACAGAACTCACAACACACACTTATGTTTCACTATGGAAAGAATTATCATGATTCCTCAGGCTTCAGTGTTTCGTTAAGAAGTCTTCAATCTAGTAAATTATTCTGACAAAACTAATCATGAACCAGAACTCACTAAAAATTCTGAAACTTTTTTTTTACTATAATAAAATTAGTTTGTACACTGTTGAAGGAACAGTTTTCACATGCATTTTTAAAAATAAAAATACATAAAATTTGTTATAAATGTAATTCCATCAGAGAATTGTTTAATGTGCTTGAATTCCCTGAAGGTAACGATCAGGAACAAAGTCAACAATATGGACTTTACAATTCACACATGCTATCTAGTACACAAATTTACTAAAGAAACTGATTTGTTTCAGTCTTTCTTATAAAAAAAAAGTAATTTCTGTGTAAATAGTAGATGATTAGGACTACAAATAAAGGTTATGCTTCTCCCTCAACTAAGCAAACCCACAAATAACTATTATTTTAAGGTGCAATAAATACAAAGATCAGCAAGACCTCAATCTTAAAGACACATAATTATATGTGGAAATTCATGGAACTGCATCATGCACACAAATTTAGACAAAAAGCTGCAGTATTAGAAAATAAAGTCCTCATCTCTCCTAGGTAAAATCATTAAAATCATTAAAATATCTTAAAAATACACTTCTTAGAAATATTAAACCTAGAAAAACTCAGTTGTTTCCTATTCAATTCAACTGTTATTGCCCCTTTAGGGTTTGTCTAACAGACTCGCATTAGCTCAATTTAATTACTCTATAGAAACAAATGAGAAAAAAAAATACAGACCCCTGCGTTTAATTAAAATAATCTGTGATAAAGCACCAAGTGGACACATTCTTTAGGAGGCAAGATATCCTGCAGAAATCGGACTGAGAAAATCAGAACAAAGTCCTACAACTCTGTGGACTTCCCAAGCGTTCATACTGTCAAAGCACCTAAGCTGCTTTTGCCACACAGTCTGATTTGGAAAAAGGTTGTAACACTGTGTGTCCATTCTTCCACAGATAAACACTGGGCTGTACAGCTGAGTCCTTAGCAAACTCTCTTAGACTTCTATACTGAAGTTGCTCCTCTGTTTAAATACTTTTTTCACTAGACCCAACGTCAGAACCACCCCACTGCACCATGCTACTTAGATAAGACTTGAATCCTGTTTCCCGTGTTACCTTATAAAAACATTACTGTAGAGATATTGCATAAGATTGTAACAATTTACACCATAGCAATAAAGGCACTTTCTTAGAATTGATTTGGATCAAATATCCCCTGTAAAAAAATGGAGAGAAGAAATTTGAATCCAGATCTACCTCATTCTATTTATTTTTCCCAGTGTGGTGGTTTTGAATACAGACTGTCACCCCTAAATATCAGCTATATTCTTTATCAACATAGTGGGTTTCTTAATAGAAACAGAAAAAAATACACACTCCTGTATCTAGGAGACACTGCTGGGGGAAAGGAGGATTTAAAGAGTTTCTCTGGGTTTTTAGGGGTATATTGCCATGGTAGGGTCAGGAGCAGGCTGCTCACACTGGGCAGAAAATCCTATCACCTTAATGCAGTACAGCCTTCTGCCCATGTTCTTCAGTTGCAAACTAACCTCTAAATACCACCATTCCTGAAAGCAGCTACTTGTAACTGCTTAATATGCACACCTCTATGATACTACCTAAAAGCATACCAAATGGGCTATGAGCTCTTCTTAAGCTTTATCTGGGTAAATAATTTCATTACATGGAAATTTTCAAAATCAGATGTAACAAAAAAAATACATACCCTTTTTCTTATTTCAGTACTTGCATTAAATTTTCACCTATGAAGTGAGGAAATCACTTATGCTTTAATAGAGTATCGAATGATACTTGCTAGTCAAGTATGACAAGTTCTAAATAACCTATTTCATAAGTAACAGCTGTGCAACATCCCCAACACACACTGCATTAAAGGAGAATATCTTTCTGAAGCTCGAAGGCATTATTGCTGTTTTGGTCAGTTTAAATACAACCATAATCATTTTTCGGTAAGACTGCTCACATATTGAGTTTCTCCTGAAATATGGAACAGGAATCTTTCACGCCTTCCCAGCTCATATAAAAAGGTGATTATTTCAAGGAGCAGTCTGATACATGTGTTTCACATAGTTCTATATTATTTAGTAGAATTTGATATTTGTGTCTGTCAATTCTCACGCTTTCCTATAAAAGAAATTCTTTGTTTTGGTGATTACAGCACTAAAAATGTCTATACACCTCGGGTAATGTCTCCACTTATCAAAAATACATTTATTAGTCTCCTTTTAAAAGTATTACAGTAAGGGAAAAGGTAGTAATTCAGTGTTAAACCATGTATTAGACCACTCATGACTTTCAAAACAACAACAAAGATTTAATTTGGAATGAAATCTGTCTTTGATGATTTTAGCTCACCTCTTAAAATTCAATCTAAAATATATATCCAGTTGTATTTGAGATTAAAGGGAATTTATTTTTTTAATTTTCTTTTATCAGAAAGTGCTTTTCCAAGGTTGTGTTTTCTCTGGATGCCTCAGAAAACAACACTGCTCTGAAACATCCAGTTTTGCCACATACATACATGAAACATTTACAAGGAAATGGTTAAATTTTACGACATTTGTTTTGAATTAAGAAAATCAGTTAGAGTCTTATTCCCAGTTTCTTTGCTCTCAAAGTGTGAGACAGTCCTCCAGCTAGTGCTACCTGCATGTGGTTTGAAGCTCTGTGCTCTCCCAGCACAGAGTAACTCTCCTGAGCAACTTCAACTCCATCAAAACCAGTGATGGAAGTCTGCTCCTCCACATGGCAACCCGAGCACCATGTGAGACAGGTATGGGAGAAGGGCACCCCCCTGCAAGACTATGATAATGCTGCCAAGAGCATGGGCTAAACACAGATCCACTACCATTTCAAATGCTCAGACTCAGTTTTTATTTTAAGTCTTCATTTTATACAACCCCTAGCATACTAAAAAATTGGTTTATGCTGGGAGAACTGACTCCATTTTGCTGCAAAAATAACTGCAAAAGTGTAGCAACATTCTATGTCAAAAACAGAAAGTGAATTTTTTTTGGCAAATAAAAATGTTCCATGGGGAAATTCATCACAATCACAATATTTTGTGAAAAGATACTGACTTTAATTAAATTCTACAAATCTTTTTGCAAGAACTTTTCATATAGGGAGAAGGAAATCAGAAAAACCAAGTTCTATCTCATTTGCCATGTAGCCATAGCTCTATGCTGAAAGAAAATGTTTTGGTACAGGGAGTAACACAATAAATGAAGGACATCAGGAAATATGATCAGTATGATAAAGTTCTATCTCACATAATCTTCCCTTAGATTGCCCTTCCATCCATTAACATTCCTGTATGATGGAATTGCTAATGTCTAAGGTGATACACAATGTAAGCAGTAGTCTTCTGTTCTGATCTTTGCTCAGCTGTTGGGATAAGGGGAGTGGTTCTGACTCACTCTGACAATATTATATCAGGATAATGGGTCTTGTATTCCTGGTCCTCACTGTGGCTGGCTAAAGCTCAAAGCAGGCCTATATATTTATTTTACTTCACAGTGCTTCTCTTCCTCCTGCTTTTGAAAGACACAAGAGTAGAGTCTGGAAGCAACACAGGTAAAGCTCAGCAGCTGAGTCTCAAAAAGGAAGAAAAAAGGGTATTTTTCTAAAGCTACAAGTAATGCTCTGTTCCCCCGTGGGCAGCCAGCAAACCCCAACTCAGAAGCATCTGTCTCCTACAAAACACTTCACAGAGGAGAATCAGACGGTCAAGTCACTTACAGTTAAAGCAGAGATCTATCTAGTAGGAAGTGGCATAGTAAATTGGGACTTATTGTTGGAAGTTAATTTCCCTGTTGAACTTCCTTTCTCCCATCTCTTGGCAATCCTGAGGAGATATTAAGAGCAGTCTGAATGGTAGTCATTTTATCAGAGGCAGAGAGGTCCATCAGATGAATATTTCCCTGGCACATAACAAATCAGTCAACAAAGGAGGCAGGAAAGGATAGACTGTAAAGCTGTGTCAGTCAGTTCAGCAACACTTGGCTGAGTTGCATGGAAATGTTTCCTACTTGGAGACTGAGCACCAGAACAATGATGCCCAGGGAATAGCAAGTCTGCTTTTATCAAAAGCCCTGATCACTTGTTGAAAATGGACGCTACCTAAACCTTCTCTCTTGAGGTCATGGTCAGTTCTTCTGCATTTGCAGAAACATGACAGGTGAGCCTGTGCTTCCACACTTAGTATGCCTTCAGCAGAAATTGCCAACAGCTGTCCACAAACCCCACTAAGAAGTCATCTCGTGGGGATGTAATGGGTTCAAAGCCAGTCCTTGACTTTTTACCCACTACTTTTGGGCTGATCCCAAAATGCTGTGGATACATGATTATAGATTATTACAGCAACCACAAAAGAGGCAAATTATCTAGAACAAACAGAAACAATCCCTGGAATTACAACAAAGCAGAAGTTTGTAACACCAATGATTTCCACAGTGGCAGTGAAATTTATCATTCAGTAGACCTGCAAGACTGAGGCACAATGAGCATTACAGCCACCTTAGTGTGATATCTCTGACCTCAGGAAAGTTAATCATGAGATGCCTCTTCTGTGACTAGTTTACACTCACTTGAAGCAGAACAGCCTCTTCCATGGCTACAGGGAATGAACAGGGAAAAGGTGGTGGTGACCTATCTGTGCAGCACTCTGAGAGCAAATGAGACAGGTCTATTTCATACACCAGACAAACTTTGTCAGTAAAAGGGTCATCATCTGGTGGCTGGTATATGAACTGATGAGTACAAATATTGTTACAAAAATGCCACGGATCACTGGGTAAGGAGAAGAGAGACTGGCAGAAGCATTTGGAAAATGAAAAGCTTCCAAAACTATAACTACATACCTTCCACAAACAGGTGGGAAGAGATATATTAAATATAAACATCTTGGAGACTATAAACTTTGTCAGACAAGTTGCCAAGGTCTGGCATTGTCTTCCCTATAGGCTTTGCTGCAAAGGGCAATGAATTACATCCCAAAAAAGACACTGCATAGCTGTAATTTCCAGAGCGTGCCTTTACTTTGGTGTTGTGAAGAGTGGACAGAATTAGCATGGCTGCCAGCAGCTGGGATGATCTGCAGTTATCTGAACTAATCCTGCTCAGCATATTGAACGATCAGTGACCTGCATGCTCACTATCTCTGGTATAGAGCCAGACACTGACAGGATGAGTAGAGAGCAGCAACTCAATCATTCTACTTTCATGTGGCTCTCACAAAACTGGACAGTAACCTCTTATCCCTTGTTCATGCAAATGCTGACTGGCATCCTACAATACCTTGATGAGGTCACAGACACAAAAAGGATGCAAAAAATCAGCAGTTCTCTCTCTTGCCTTTCTGGATGTACATGAAGGAAAAGACTCTTCCATCAGCAAATAACCATCCCAGGTGAACTCTAGTGCAAAGCAGGGGGTTTACTCCCCTGGGATATTGTTATTTGAAATACCAGAAAAAAAAAAGGAATATTTCTTGATGGCAATATATGTAACTATTTCAAACTATTTCTCTCAGATAACCTAGAGAAAAGCTTAATGTTGTTGAAAAATTTAAGTGATATGCCAAGATATCATAATGGTAGTCATTAATTTGAACCCTCTTCACTATTGGCAGCAGAAATGAGGTCTGTGATCACTAATACATGGCAAACAAAAGAGGGCTGTTCATTACCTCCTATCCACTCTTCAGGTTACACTGGAAGCTTTTCCAGCATAACAGTTTGGCCTACTCTTTCCTAAAAGAGCATGGAAACCATCCTCATGAACAGCATTTATTCCAAACTTGATTTGAGTATCTGCATTCAATTATACTCACTTGAAGAACAATATGACTACTCCCAATCTTCCAAATATCCTTTGGAGTAGCTTTTTCACCTCCAACTTGCAGAGTTGTTCCTAGACTACTCACTGGGACAACACAGAAACTCTGTACAACAGAATGTCTTCAGGATTCTTCTGGTTCACAAGAATCAATTCTGGGAACTGTCATTTGGAGTCTCAGAATCCCTCCCACATCCCCACAAAACAAACATACCAGCTGCAGAAAAACTCCAGGAGTAACACAAAATTATCTATACCAGCCTCAATACAAAAGAACATGTACAATGAATCATACATTGAGTACATTCAGGGATGTTCTTACTGACTTTTTTATGTTGAGGAATTCTCCACCTGAGTTAGATAACAATAAGTAGAAGCGAGAGGACATGCTTGATGTAGTCATAAGTTTACAGTCTCATTTTCAATGAGGCACAGTAAGTGAATGAGTGAGTGAAAGTAATGAGGATGAACAAGGATAATAGCAATAGATCACAGTGCCATTGATTTGCTATACAGACAGATGACTCGGAAAGGTTCCTCTTTAATTTCTATAAAGTAGCCACCCCAAAATAATTGCTTACACTAGCCATCATTAATTTGTTGATTTCTTGAAGGCATTCCGATAGGAACAGTAGATCTTAAATGAGTGGGTAGCAGTTTTATGGACTTGTTCCTCCACAGCACTCTGCAACTAAAAGACAGTGAGGAACCATCTGTGTAGATAACAGTGATATAATGAACTTTGAAGGTAGGAGTGAAGGGAAGGAGGCATGCACGTGCAACCTAATGAGATGAGATGAAGTGATCAAGTCTCTCTGAAGTCTGTGGGAACCTTTCTAATAACTTCACTGAGAGTTCAGTCAAGCCCTAAAGGACAAAAGTAGAGCAGGTCATTAAGGCAGACTGTGAAAGTACTATCAGGTTTTGAAGTATTTCAGAAGTGTTCATATTAAAAAATATGGCCAATGTAGTGAGTTTCTGAGAAGTGAGGCAGCATCTGTATGCTCTTTACTAGAGTATGTTTCCCAGGTATGAAAAGTGCCCTGGCCACAGGCACATTTCTAGATCATTGTATCATGGGAGCAGTATAAAACATGCTGCTTTCTCATAGGCTGCAAATGATCAGGATCAAGAAACACATACCTTATACCACTAGAAATCTGGAGTACTCAGATTTCTACTTAGCACACACCATTCATTTCCATTCCTGCTGACTACTGAGCTCTATGTTGTAATGTATTACAGTAACTTATAAAAGAGGAAAAGAAGTCTCACACAGGTTTGACACTCTCCTCTCTCCCAATAAATTTCTATCAGAGGGAAACCTCTATACCCTTCTAATTTTACAAGAAGGGATCAGTTCTCCCTGTACAGCCCATGTGTCAAGGGAATGCACGGATCCTTCTTTTCCCTTCCATATAATCATTCTATTCAAGTCCCCATATGTCTTCCCTCACTCTCTTCTATTCCAGTCCAAAATTGCCAGACAATGTAGCATGAAGTGCTAAGGAAACAAATATTTCACGACATTGATATGGTGGATTCCTTTTTTTTTAGGTGATAAAAAACCACTGGTATCTAGTACTCACTTTCCTCAAGACAATAACTATTACTGTTATGATCATGTAGGAACTGAGGAGGAAAAAAATAAGTAATAAGCAGAATAATGCACTTTTGAGGTCCAGCATATGGTTATCTAATAGAGAGAACAAATACTTTTGATAGATCAATAAGGAAACTTTTAGCAACAGCAAACATTTCTTAGCCCTGGTTTAGACCACGGATCAGAGTTTAAAATGATAGAATTCTAAATTTACTAAATCATACTCATCAGATGTTTTGCTATAAAATAATACATTTAACTTTCACCAATCAATAAATGAATTGCATTCATCAATGATTTGATATGTGTTGCCAAATATAAAATACTTAGCATTTAGGTACATATTTCTATGTAAAAGCTTTACATCATACTGTCTAAATTCTGCAATAATTATAAATCTAGCTTGTTGCTCATCTTTCATTCCTCCTCCCTCCCTTCCCAGCTCTCCTTTTTTATTGTAATTTATTTTAAGTAGTTAAACCTGGGTGCAGAGCAACTAAACAATTATCTAGGATCAATTCCACAGAAACAGTTGAGGAAAACACAAGTATGCTTTATGAGATTCCACTGGGAGGAAAGTTTATTTTTACCTGATTTGTTAGACACCCATATAATTGCCTCTGATGAGATGTGGCTCGTATTTCCTACTGCAATTGTTAATGGAATCTGCCACAAGTAGCTGCAAGACAAAGGAGGGGGAATCTAAGAACAAAAATACTGAACTGATTCTTCTCACAGCAATCAGGGATCATGTCAAAGAAATCAAAACACAATTTCAGTAGCACTGTAAAGATCTGTGGATTCTACGAAGTTACTCTGATTTTGAAATGCATTTGCTATTAGCAATAAAACAATGAAAAAGTCATTCTTTAAAAAAAAAAACTAAATTATATTTTACATTTTTCACACACTATCATTTTATGAGGACTTTTTAGCAAGGCTTTTCCTAATTTTGCAAAATGATTCAGAAAAGAGGAAATAATGATTTCTCATATAAAGAACAACACTTTTTTATATTTACTGAAAAAAAGAGTACCAGTTTAGAAATAACATACTCTTCTAGTAACTTCTGAAAAAGCTACAATGGGCTTTCATTGCTGTTGGTTTATAAAAACAAAATGAATGGGATGGATCTCCACTTCTTTGCACCATTTATTATCACCTATGCATATGCAAACTGGACAAAACTTGCTGCATGTGGTTTGGTGATATACTAATGCAATCGGACTCCAACTTCCTTACAGGGTATTAAAAATTGTTTCTCATTTGGAGAAGACATTTTAATTTACCTAAAACTTTTATATAACATCTTTATCGTAATAAGCAGAAATTGACTGTATGAAGTCAATTTTGGGGGGAAAAGACAGAAAGGATGAATTCCTGCATGTCTTCATCACCTCTATTCCTGAACTCTCAAAAGTACCATTTCACCGGTCAGTGTAAGACTGGACATTTCCCTGACAGGCCTGCCACATCATTTTGTAAACAAGTCAAGGGGAAGTGCTCAGTAATGATACAGGTGGTACCTTTGCTGGTCTTTGAGTAAGTGGTCTAGGGGGAGTATTTGTGCAGTTAAGCAAGGCAGCATGGCAAGAGAATGGCCCCAACTGTATACTACCACTTTGATACCAAGTATATAATTTTTGACTGACTGCATTAAAAAGGTGTGAGTGTGGGCCAGTTCTTGATGTCAACATCAGCTTCTCTCCTGCTAGTACACAGCATTGCAAAACTAGCCTATGGTACTAAAAAGAAAAATTGGTTTTGCTCCTTTCCATTTACCCAGAAGCCTGCTGCACTGAATTACAAAAATTACAAACACCATCCAGATGTTCCACAACTCCAGTCAACATAGGCTGGCAAGGGTGGCATTTGCTGGCCTGACTTGGAGTCTAGGGGAAAGAGAGACCCCTGCCCTGCCTTCACACTTTGCTCCTGGCTTCCTACATATTTGTAAAGAGTCTCCACCACACACAGGGATTTGTATTGCTTAGAACAGAATCACATGTTCTGGGAACCACTTCATCATACAGCAGTGATTCAGCAGAGGGAAAGATATTTGGGCAACCATACAGCTGTAAGAGCTATGAATGATAGTCGAAAGGAAACACAGCATTTATTGCCAAGTGGGAGAAGAAAAAAGGTTCCATGTGATTTTAGGTTCTCTGAGTGTATCACTGGGAAAACTATTAGATCTACTGCTGCACTGAAGATAAGCTCCACATGAGTACATGCTCTGGTAGACATTTTTTTGATAATTAAGCTGTGGCATTTGAAGGTGCTTATGGCTTTATCAGTCTGCCCACTCCTTGTGCTGGACATTGACACACTGCATAGCATGGTCAGCAAAAAAGAATGTCCACTGGTGCACTAGCTTCTTCAGTTCTCTATCTGGGGTCCTCACACAAAGTTACCCTCTTTGTAGGCTTAACCAATATTCTGGACTGTGAATTGGAGCAATGAGATCAAAGTGTGTTTTGTGTCCTGCGGTTTCTGCTTCAGCATCAGTAACTTCTGGGTTCAACAGGTGAGGGCACTCAGGGGATGCTGAGAAGTGATGCACCAAATTATATTCACTACTCTCTTAACTACTTTATACCTAACTAGACATTCACTGGTGTCTGTCCAAAAAAAAAAAACTCCTGGGAAATATATCACCTTTAAAAATGTACCCAGTTCTAAATACTTGGTTCTCCCAAATGAAAAAGGTGCTGGGAAATTGTGATTGAGAAAAATGAGGCAAAATTTGCATAAAGCTTGTACATTATTTGAAAGAACAGACTGGTATATGAAAGAAATTAAAAACTGCATTTGCATGGAATTTTTATTACCTTGCAACTCCTACTGAAAAAGCTAAACTGCAAAATAAAAGGTACTGAGAGCTGCCTATGTAGCTGATTTAAGCACATATATACGCATTTACAAATATTCATGTATGAATATACACATGGACACCTGTTATTTTGAGAAGGAATTTTACAGAAAGGTATTTTGCACATTGCAGTATCTATACAGAGAAGAATTTCATATTACTTGACATTATTTTGCCTTCAGTTAAGATAAATCCCATTGAAATAGGGACAGATCCTTTTCTGAAAGGTGATCCAGCTGTCACAAAAGCTACTCCTTCTCAGAAAATATGTGTGGATTTAGTTATGGAGATTAGTACTGGCAAATTTAACTTTTATGTCCCCAATATTAGAGACTTCCGGACGTTCTTGGTGCTCTCCAGAACTTCCAAATCTCACTCTCTTGGCTATTAGTCTCCCAGGTGAACCACAGGTTTCCTTTTCATAGGCATCTCCAGAAACACATTTTTCCTACGTTATTGCTGCTGTTCTCTCTGTTTATCTCCTTTCTCATTCCATTTCTCCTCATTCTCAGAGAAACTTCTGCTGCTGTTGCAGAAGAAGCTGTGGCTAACTTTTTCTACGTATGTGAGAGAGACGTATCTGGCTCATCTTTCAAGAAGACAGCTTCCACTCACTGTCTCTGAGTGATCTGTACAGCCTTTGTTCTCCAGGTGTGACTGGGAAGAGGCAAACTTTGTTTGCGCTTTTCTATCACAGTATTCTACTTTACAAAGAGGAAAAAGGGGACCCACTCGCCTGTTTTCCTCCTGCTTTGTCTGCGAGTAGTGCAGACCTATTATTTACATTTTGGGAGCACCACCAGTGTGCTCTCAGTATGTATTTGTCATTAAAAAATAAAAGGCAAGGTTCCTGGCATTTCAGATTTTGCACACCTCTTCAACTACTTTTTCACATTAATGAATGTTTTTGCTGAGATGTAAACCCATACATTTTCAAGATTCACATTCCCAGTACCCATAATGTGCCACGCTTCACATACACGTCAGCTGGCACTAGCAAAACCCCAACCATCATCTTCTGTGACTCAGTTTCTCTGGGATTAATTCAGTTGTGCAAGGTGATGTCAACTGAGCTGTCACAGGGTACTTGAGACATCTGCCATGGGCTGTTAGATAAGACAGAGCACCTAAGGATGCTCCCACCCTTGTAATGGCAGCACAAGACAAGGTAACCAGAATGGCACCAGTCATCTGTGCAAGCAACTAAATGAGCCTCTCTACGTTGACAACGAGAGCTTTCATAATTAAACCTGAGTTTCCCAAGGAAACTTTTCAAAACCAAGCTGCTTGTCAGAAAAAGGATTCCTCACAGATTTTCAAACACGGTATTTAAAACAGGCACTGTTACAACATTTTATAACTACTGTTTTAAATAAGAACTTTCAGTCTGCTGATTCAAAAATTGCAGGGAGAAGTTAAAATGACTGAAACTGAAATGTAAGATAGTGAAATTACAGAATTGAAATTAATGTTCTAAACTAATTTTCCCCCAATTTTTGTCCTGATTCAGTAGAGGGAAATGTTTTGATATGTCGAAAATTTCTGTGGGATGGGAATCCATTACTTGTTCATTGGTAACACTTACTAATCTTTGTAAAGTATTTTGAGATTATAACAATCTAAGACCTTACATTACTGAGAGATATGATTAAAGCTATTTAACACAGAGATAAAGTGAGGCATAAAAATAGTTCAAGAGTAGAAAGCATAAAACAAGAATCAGTGAGTAAAACTGACTGGTTAAGATACCTACCTCCTTTTTTTTCGCCACCAGAACTTAATAGCCAAAATGCCAACTCAGTCTCTTCAGTTAAAGACAACAGTCTGGTACATCCAGAGTGGGTGAATATGAGGAACAGGGAGCAAGAACTCCTTGGTGTTAGTTTCTGTTCTCAGCTCTCTCTAGATGAAAATGCTGAAATCTCATGTACACACACACATATATCTTAGGTGAGCAGCACTGAGTCTGAGGATGGGATGCTTTCCCTGTGTGGCCCTTGCAAACACTGGTGATTCCCTGAATAAGTTCAGATGCTGACAGGCATTTCTTACTAAGGGAATATCTTGCTGTGAGACACCTGCATGAACTCATGTTGTTCAGATTTCAGGGACAAAAGAACACAAAAGCAAAGTAATGAGAAAATCTGACCTTATGGAAAGCAAGTAAATCTTACAGAACAAAACTAAGATTTGAAGATTTGTATTTTTCCTTTGGTTGAATACCTGACTGATCTCCAGAGACATATACAAATAGTGGCTAGTAATAGATGCATTTAGCTGCATGACTGCAAAAGTTTCTGGTTAATAACCTTGATGCTTATTATACATTACAACGCACATGAAGTTGATAATATGAACAAAGTAAAGGATAGTGTGATGTTAGGACATTAAATAAGTATAAAAGGAAGAGAGTAGAGATCTCTCATTTCTTCATACCAAAACAGGTGCAATTTGTCAGCAAGGTTTGGAAGGCTGGGGCTACTACTTCATAGTAGATTGTATGGGGCTATTTTTTGGACTTGTGCTGGAAACAGTGTTGGTAACACAGGGATGTTTTAGCTATTGCTGAGCAGCACTTACACAGCATCAAGGCAGTTTCTGCCTCTCATCCCACCCTACCAGCAAGGAGTCTTGGGGTGCACAAGAAGTTGGGAGGGAGCACAGCTGGGAAAACTGACCCCAAATGACCCAAGAAATATTCCATACTGTATGATATCATGCTCAGTATGTAAAGCTGGGGGAAGAAGGAGGAAGTGGGGATGTTTGGAGTGACTGCATTCGTCTTCACAAGTAACTGTTATGCATGA